TTGGGTTCTATTCCTCAAATACCAACCTTTTTTGGGAGTGCTTGTCTTCATTGAATCCCTACAGTGTGGAACAGGCCGTACCACCCCTCCAAAGAAATATCCACACCCCATAACCCTATAACCCTGCATTTACCATGGCTAATCCTCCTAACCTGCACATCCCTGGACACTTTACATGGCCAATCCACCCAACCTGCACGTTTTTGGACTGTGTGAGGGAACTGGAGCACCTGGAGGAAACTCACACAGACACGGGGAGAATGTGCAAACTCCAAACAGACAGTCACCCGAGGGTGGAGTCAAACCCAGGTGCCTGGTGCTGTGAGGCAGCAGTGCTAACTGCTGAGCCACGTGCCACCCTTCGTTTCGCTTCCCTTAGACATTTTCCCGTTTCTGTCTCCATCACAATGCTTTTTCCCAAAATTCTGCCAGTCACCAGAGGCAGAAGCTTGAGGGGTGCCACTCTGCATTATTTGTTTGATCAGAAATCTCCCCCATTCTTACTATCTGCCACAGGCACATTGGAACTATTTACAGACCATGTACGAACACACTTTCTGTAGCCATCCAGTCCTGGATTGGGACTTAAACCTAGAGTCACTATTTCAGAGGCTCCAAAAGCATTTCCACCTGCTTTATCTTTAGGGAATTTCTGTTCTAACACTGTAAAACAGTTTAAACAATTTTAGATACTTTGGCATCAAATTGTTTTAAAGTTTCCTACAGATAATTAAAAAGAGAATAGAACACCGTCTGTTTGTTCAGACAGAATCGGTTGCTAATTTTTAAAAATTGTCTTCTCTGTCCTTTTTCATGTTACTTATTCTGTTAGAACTGCAGAAATGTTTGCAGTTAGAAATATTGAATCAAATTTACTGATTGGATCTAGCAATTGATTGTACATTCATACAGTTTTCAATCAAAATGGATTTTATACGTATTGCATTATGAACCAAGAGGTCTGGGTTCAAGTCCCAATTGCCCCAGAGGTGTGTAATAACCTCTCTGAACAGGTTGATGTAAAAATGTCTTGCGCTGTAACAATGAAAACAACCAAAATCGGCTGAACAGAAAATGCATTGACATTTAAATTGTTATAGAAGGTGTAACATTATCAAAATTAAATTCCTAACTTCAGATCAATTTCTCTGTCTTAGGCTACAGTAATACCAATGGGAAATGTTCATGCGTGGTACTAGGTGCAGTGTAAACCCATTTTGCTGTGAAACCAGTTTGGAAATATTAATATCTCTCAACACAAATTATTCACCTCGATGATTATTCAGTGCTTCTTACTGGAAGGTTTGCTTGTTTGGAGACATGGGTTAGGACAAGATTAGACTTTAGTCGTTGACTACTGTATGTAGTGTGTTACAACCTCAATAGAAATTGAAACTCCTTAAAAGAACACAATATCAACACAAAGAGAATGAACAAGACTTCACTTTTTAAAAAACTTGTACTGCAATAAATAAACCGAAATTAATACAATTTAAACATCTATCTCAACAAGTTATACATAAAATACTGAGGTATGTTTCACTTTAAGTGAGCAACACACCAAATTTTTATCTTATTACATCACAGGCACTTGCATCACTCCTGTGTGCCGCTTGATCCAAAGTTCTCAGATACGGTTACGCCACTAAGCTCCATTTCTATGAACCCTATAGCATTTGGATCACACTAGTCCTGATGACATAGATTTCCAAAGTTCCTTTAGACCCAAACAGCCCTCAGTACCTGGTTTACAGTCTGCCTGGGCTGTTCAGACCACATTTAGATTCAGTTTCTTTTAGCTCACTTGTGCAATTTTTCCTCAAGAACTTTTGCGGGGGTGGAAAAAAACTGAACATTTATAAACAGCTTTTCACCTCCTCGTTCAAATTCTGTGCTTAGCCGTAGTGCCCTGCTGCTCGAACCTGACACCACCTGGAATTAGCTTTTAACTCCACAGCAATGTCAACCAGAATTTAACTTCTTTGAAATTATACCATACCCAATAAGTGCAACGAGCACCCACTTCCAGAATTTTCCTGGTGTTACTTGGACTTGAAGAGATTTAAGGAAAATTCCAAGTTTCCCCTAAAATCCAGGATCATCACCTGATTTCATATTTATAACATGCACATCAAATTCAAAACTCTCTCCAGAAAACACTATCCAGACACTGAGATTCATGTATCATGGATTTATTCACCCATAACACATACAATGCTATTTAAACATGCAGTTAAAAAGTGGCCTTTACAACCAAATCTATTTACTGTTTTTTTTGTGAATTTGTGTGTAGCAATTCTGAGCTATCTTTAGACTTTATGACTGCAAGTATACATTATGTACAACCATTGTTTATACATTTCCTTTACTCTTTCTATGTGACAAGCTAAATTTATAATTCTGCATTACATAATCATGTAGAAATTAAAATATAACTTGGTATAAAGATAGTTTAATGATTCATCTTTAAAATATTTAGTTTTCATCACTTGAAAGCTCTTTCTCTGTCCTAGAGATGTTTATTGTTTTATCATAGTTTCACTTCTGTCACATGTAGTTGCTGTTCTGTCAAGTATATCTTTGAATTCTCAGCATCTCTTTGATTTAGTACTGTTCCATATCTGTCAAAATCCTGCTTCTACAGAAACAATAACTGAAAGGATGATCTCTGGTCAGATGTTTTCCTTTGCACAGCTAACTGCTTTTCCAGTGTTACCAGATGATTCATTAGCGGTCTTTAATTATACCTCAAAAAACTTCATTCTGAATCTGACCATTGCTGACCTTGTTACATAATGTATCACTGTGTGATTGCACCAAAATTGATTTAAACATCCCCAATTTAACATCTAAAGGCTAATGGTTGATGATCCCACAAAAAAAATCAATAGTGGTATAATATTAGTAGAGTTTGGGATAGTTGGACTAAATGGCTCCTTGCAATATTTAAATAGCTTTTTAAAAAAATTCTTTCACTGGATATGGACAACCCTGATTAAACTAGCATTTTTTGCCAGTCCCTAATTGCCATTCATGGGAGTGAGTCATTTTTTGAACTGCCGCAGTCCATGTGGTGTGTGGCTTGGAGTGGGGGGATTTACAAGAGTGATCCTGGACATCTGCTGCCTTTGTTCCTCTAGATGGCAAAGATTGGAAGATATTTTTGAAGGCACCTTGGTTAGTTGCTGCAGTGCATCTTGTATGGAAACTTGTAGGTATGTTGTGTGCTGGCATTCGTAAGATGTAGTGTTTGTTGTGGCGTAAGATATGCCAACAAACAGGGCATTTCTGTCCTGGATGGTGTTGAGCTTCAGGACAGTTGGAGCTGCACTCACTTAGGCAAGTGGATAGTATTCCATCACATTCCTGACACGTTTTGTAGATGTTGGGCAGGCACTGGGGAGATAATGAGGTTGCTGTGATTGGTTGGCTCGCCGAGCTGGTTCGTTAGTTTGCAGATGTTTCATTACCTTGCTGGGTAGCATCATCAGTGCAGCCTCTGACGAAGCACTGTTATGTTTTCCCGCCTGGTATTTAACCTGTACGGCCCGTTGGAGTTGATCACCTCATTTCCAGTTTTTCTTCGCAGTGGTGTATATATAGGGTCTAATTCTAAGTGTTCATTGATGGTTCGCTTGGTGGAGAACCACGCCTCTCAATTCCCATGCTTGTCTCTGTTTGGCCTGTCCTGGGATCCTGATATCGTCCCAATCGAATTGGTGATTCTCCTTATCCATGTGAATGGAGCTGAGTGAGTACTGGTCGTGTCTTTTTGATGCCAGTTGGTGTTCATGTATTCTCGTGGCCAGTTTCCTTCCTGTCTGTCCAATGTAATGTCTGTCGCAGTCTTTGCATGGAATCCTGTGTATCATGTTGGTTCTGTCCATAGTGGGTAAGGGGTCTTTGGTGCAAGTTAGCAGTTGGCGTAGGGTTGACGTAGGTTTGTGTGCCACTCTGATTAAGGACCTAATCTATGAATTAAGGACTTGATCCGTGTGTGTGGCCTTTCTGTGTACCTTTGTCAGAAGTTGATATACAAAATCCCGTGCAAAGACTGTGACAAACATTACATTGGACAGACGGGAAGGAAGCTAGCTATGAGAATACATGAACACCAACTAGCAACAAAAAGACACGACCAGTCCTCACTTGTCTCCATTCACATGGATAAGGAGAACCACCAGTTCAATTGGGACAACATCAGGATCCCAGGACAGGCCAAACAGAGACAGGCACGGCAATTTCTAGAGGCCTGGTTCTCCACCAAGAAGGCCATCAATAAACACAGAATTAGATCCTATAAATACACCACTGTGAAGACAAACTGTAAATGAGGTAATCAACTCCAACGGGCCCCAGAGGTTAAATACCAGGCGGGAAAACACAACAGTGCTTCATTGGAGGCTGCTCTGATGACGTTACCCAGCAAGGTAATGAAACGGTTGCGCACTAACGAACCAGCTCGACGAGCGAACCAACCAAGCATCCACAACCTGAGCTACAAATCTACTCAAGAACCTTAGGTAGGTTAATTGCTACAGAATTTCAGCCTCTGAATTATTGTTGTAGCCAATGGCTGGTATAGTTAAGTGTCTAGACCATGATTACTCCTAGGATATTGATAGTGGAAATTCAGAGATGGTAATAACATTGAATGTCAAGAGCAACAATTAGATTCTCTCTTGTTGGAGATGGTAATTGCCTGGTACTTACATGGCACACACGTTATTGCTAATATTAGGCCAAACCTAAATATTGCCCACATCTTTCCACATATTGACGTGAATTGCTTCAGTATCATCCAACACTCATTGCCCAGACTCATCGGGAGAAAATTTTAAAATTGTGAACAAATGTTAATTATTTGCTTCCGTCACTGTTGGCGACAAATAAATTCCAAACGCCATCTTTTGGTTTGACAAGGATTTGTGCATAGCCTTCCTTTGGTAGATTAATTCACTAATGTTTTCTAACAATGTTTTTTTCCTTCTTTGTTTTAGGGCAAACTAGTGAAGTATTTCAGCCGCCAGCTTTCCTGTAAACGCAAGGTTTCCCTGCATGAGCGAAGCGCTGAGTTAGAGGGATTTCCTCACCTAGTGCATTGGTTCCGGATTGTAAATATCCGCAAGGAAGTGATCAAGGTAAACCTGGTGTAAGCTCGGTTATTATTTCCAAACAACATTGTTAATATGATACACCATTTGAGATGGTAGTGGATTGAACGTAGTGCAAACTGGATTAATTACCTGCATTCCATTATGCCATTTAGATTGAATTTAGAATTTTTCTGCATTTCTTTTCAATTTTTTTTTCAGTATCAGTTGGTAGATAAGTCCCCACTTCACTCAGGTACATTTTGCTGTGCGTAATTAAAACAATTATAAAATGCGGAAATTGAAAACGTAGCTGCTATTTCTGTTCAAGTTAGAAGCTCAGGAAGGTCACAGTCTCAAAGAATTGGTCTTTGTTGAGTTCACTGATCTCATCTTGAGTCATGACTAGCTCCTGTAAGAGGCTTCAACATCCTAGGCTAGGAAACCCCGAGTGGCTTCCTGTTGCTAAACCACAACAACAACATTTATAAGCAAGCTTAAATGCCTATACTTAATGTAAGAAAATGCCCCAAGAGTCATGGTTATAGAGTCAGAGATTTACAGCATGGAAGCAGACCCTTTGGGTCCAACACGACCATGCCGACCAGATATCCTATGTAAATCTAGTCCCATTTGCCAGCATTTGGCCCATGTCCCTCTAAACCCTTCCTATTCATATACCCATCCAGATGCCTTTTAAATGTTGTAATAGTACCAGCCTCCACCACTCCTCTGGCAGCTCATTCCACATACGCACCACCCCCTGCATGAAAAAGTTACCCCTTAGATCCCTTTTATATCTATCCCCTCTCATTTTAAACCTATGCCCTCTAGTTTTGGACTCCCCCACCCTGAGGAAAAGACCTTGTCTATTTACCCTATCCATGCCCCTCATGATTTTATAAACCTCTATAAGGTCGCCCCTCAGCCTCTGATGATCCAGGGAAAATAGCCCCAGCCTTTTCAGCCTCTCCTTGTAGCTCAAATCCTCCAACCCTGGCAACATCCTTGCCAATCTTTTCTGAACCCTTTCAAGTTTCACAACATCCTTTCTATAGTAGGGAGACCAGGATTGCAAACAGTATTTCAAAAGTGGCCAAATTAATGTCCTGTACAGCCGCAATATGACCTCCCAACTTCTTTATTCAGTGCAATGACCAATGAAGGCAAGCATACCAAGCATGTTCTTCACTATCCTATCTACCTGCAAATCGACTTTCAAGGAACAATGAACCTGCACTCCAAGGTCTCTTTGTTCAGCAACACTCCCCAGGACCTTACCATTAAATGTCTAAGTCCTGCCCTGATTTGCCTTTCCAAAATACAGCACATCACACTTATCTAAATTAAACTCCATCTGCCACTCCTCAGCCCATTGGCCCATCTGGTCAAGATCCTGTTGTACTTTGAGGTAACCTTCTTCGCTGTCCACTACACCTCCAAATTTGGTGTCATCTGCAAACCATACTTCCTATGTTCACATCCACATAATTAATATAAATGATAAAAAGCAGTGGACACAACACTGATCCTTGCGGCGCACTATTGGTCACAGGCCTCCAGTCTGAAAAGCAACCCTCCAGCATCACCCTCTGTCTTCTACCTTTGAGCCAGTTTTGAATCCAAATAGCTAATTCTCCCTGTATTCCATGTGAACTAACCTTGCTAACCAGTCTACCATGAGGAACCTTGTCGAACGCCTTACTGAAAAAAGGTGGGTTTAGAGATCTGAAATTGTTGAACTTGGACAGTGGGAGAGAAAAGAATAAGAGATTACATGTTGCTGTTGCTGACAGCAACCATCTTCTCCCAACTGTTAACTGGGTTGTGGCTTTGGATGGGGAATAGAGATAACAGAGATATTAGCCCAGGAGAGGAGTCCCAAATGGTGAGTTCCCTGACTTTCTGTCTGACTGACTGATTCTCTGCACTTCAGTTGAATGACAGTTCTGCCCTGTTAGCTCTGTTGCTGTCTCTACAGATGCTTTCAGACCTATTGAACATTTACAACATCCTTTATATTTAATTATCTCATGGGATGCTGGCTGGGCCTGTGCCTGTTTATTGCCTGTGCCTAATTGCCCTTGAGAACATGGTGGTGAGCTGCCTTCTTGAACCGCTGTAGCCCATGTGCTGCAGGTAGACCCACAATGCCCTGAGGGAGGAAATTCCAGGATTTTGACTCAGCAACAATGAAGGAACGGCAATATATTTCCAAGTCAGAATGATAAGTGGCTTGGAGGGGAACTTGCAGATGGTTGTGTTCTCGTGTATCTGCCCTAGTCTTTCTAGATGGAAGAGGTCATGAGTCTGGAAGGTGCTGACTAAGGATCTTTGGTGAATTTCTGCATCTTGTAGATAGCACACACTGCTGCTCTTGAGGATGGTGGAGGGAGTGGGTGCTTGTGGATGTGGTGCCAATCAAGGCAATCCTAAGCATTTCAGTTTTGTTTTAGCCTTCATGAGTGTTATTCATGATCGAGTGTTGACAGAGAGCTGTGTCAAGCTCTTTAACTGTGGGAACATGATGGCTAATTGTACTCTTCTTACCTAACATTCACAAATGTGTATTTCCAGCAGATGTCTCTGGTTAAATGTGGTTTTTTTTTGCAGGATAAATATCACTGAAACCTGATCATTAGCTTATTGCTGAAGGTGGGATCTTGCTTTGCCAAAAATATTAGCTGTTGTTTCGTACATACAACAATGACTATTCCATATGTAAATGCAAGTCTTTCTTTCTATTGTACTGCCAAGCTGGCTGAAATTAACTAACTGATTAATTCAAATGGATCTGAGACATTGCTGATCCAGCAGAAAATGAAAAGATTCCAAAGAATCGGGCCATTTGGCCTGTTATATTTTTGCTGACTGAAAAGGAACTATCCATCTAATCCCAACTTCCAGCTCTTGGTCTGTAGCTTTGTTGTTCTTAGCCCCTCCAATGCTTATCCTGTTATTATTTTAAATGTAGTGCAAGTTTTGCCCTCTGTTCCTCTTTCAGCTTTCAGGCAATGAGTTTCAGACTACACTGAATGATAAATATTCTCTTCAACGGTCTTCTAATTCATTTAATACAATGTAATTGACCTCTTTTCCCATGGAAAAATAGATCCTTCTTATCCACAGTATCTAAGCTCCTCATAAATTAAAACAGTTTCTTCAGGTTAATTGACCCTCTTTGTTATCAAGTTAGTCAGACATAATCTTCTCTTAACAAATTCATCTTAACTGATCTTGTGTAATCTGTGCCTCTCTAAATTACGATTCATATTGTCTTCCAGAACTTTTCCAAAAAAGACTTCTTACCACTTACCTAACTTGCCTATAATTAGTCAGCCTATCTCTCCCTCCTTTTTAAACAACAGTACAATGCTAGCTGTCCTTCAATTCTTCAGTACCAAATATGTAGCCAGAGAGGATTGGAAAAGGATGGCTGGACTTTCTGCTGTGACTTCCCTTGCTTCACAACTTCTACTTTGTCTCTTGCTTGTGTGAAAACAGACACAAAAGTGCTCATTAAAAACATGATTGGTTAATATTGACATCACTGGGCTAGTAATCTAGAGACCCAGGCTATTGCTTTGGGGCTATGGGTTTGAATGTCACCAGAGCAGATGATGAAATTTGAATTTGATTAACAAAACTGGAAATGATAAAAACAATCTAACGGTGACCACAGTCATTTATTGTAAAAAACCCATTTGGTTCACAAATGCTGTTTAGGGAAGGAAATCTGTTGTCCTTACCTTTCCATCCTATATGTGACTTCAGACCCACACCAACCCTGACCGACTCTAGACTATCCTCTGAATTGGGACAAACCACCCAGTTGTATTAACCTGCTACAAACAAAGAAAAAATCTGGAAAGACTTAGCCAGCCTCAAGCATTGGAAGCCACAAAATTAAATCCAGAAACAAAAACAGGAATCGCTGGAAAAGCTCAGCAGGTCTGGCAGCATCTGTGGAGAGAAATCAGTGACCCCTCCTCAGAGGAAGAGTCACTTGACCCGAAATGTTAACTCTGATTTCTCTTCACAGATGCTGCCAGACCTGCTGAGCTTTTCCGGTGATGCCTGTTTTTGCTCCTGACATACAGTATCCGCAGTTTTTGTTTCAGTTTTTACTTAAAATTTAAAGCCAGCCTTGTTAAACTTGCAAAGTCGTCCTAACTAACATCTGGGGTTTGTACCCCAAAATTGGGAGTCCAAACGAGGTCCAAGGAAGAGTGCAGGAGGGCATGACATATGATAAATTAGTACGATTTATCAAACTAATAAAACAAATAGAAATAAAGTTAACACTTATGAAAGACTTAAATTTTCTTTAGGAAATCATTGGCTTCTGTCTAATCAGGACGTTTATTGACACTTGTCATTTATTTTTACTTATCCTGCTGCCTGGAGCTTGCACTCTGATCATTGCATTGCTCCACCCTCAAGCTTCTTTAGGTTCACACACCTGGTTACCAGGCTTTCTGATTTAGCAAAATAATAGGTATAATTTTTAGCTCTTAGATTATATAACTGCCCTAAGAGACAAAAATCTTCATTGAAACACTGTACTTACTGACCGCTCACCTACCTGCTACCTTCCTTGATTTTTTTGCTTGTGTTTTTTTTGTTCACCTTTCAGCCTCTGGTTCTACCTCCTACTTTTGCTGCTGCAGCTCTGTGTCTCGGATTACTGCTCTTTTATATCTTATTGATATCTTTAGTTTTTGAAATTCACAATGGTAGAATTAATGACTTCCAAATTGGTTACATTTTAATAGATGCATAGTTCTTAGTAATGAAGCATGTAACTTGTTTTTTGGTAGTTGCTGGTAGCATTTAACTTTTTCATAGAAGGTAGATTTCCATTTTTGGTCTGAAATATTCCTTTATCCAGCAGAGAGCAGTATTAACCTGAAGAATGCAGATGTCTGAGGCCGATAGTGCTCTGGCGCAATTTGTTACTTAATGTGTTTCACAGTTTAAGAATTGATACTTGATAGTCAATCCATTGTCTATCCATAAACATAATCAACCTGTATCACAACAATGAAAATAACCTCCTGGGGAATTTCATTTTTGTTTTGCTTGAAAGAGTACACTTTTTTGGTTTTGAGTCAGTAATCTTACAATTCTACTGAAATAAATCAGGTAGAAATGTGTGCTGAGCTATAGAAGGAAACGTTAGGAGTGAAGGTTAGGAAGAGAGGAAACAGGCGAGTTGGAGTAGGAGTTTAGGGAAAGAATTCTCAATTGTGAAGCCTACACAACTGTAGGCATGACCACCAATGTTGGCAGAAAGGTTAATCTCAAAGACGAGTTAGTTCAGGTCAGTGCAACTGAGCAAGGATAGGAGTGATCAGTGAATTACATGGGATAGGATAAAGGCAGTGGAGTTTTACAATGAGCTGACGCTTAGAGTGGAGAATAAAAGGCTTTGCAGAGTTTATTTCACTTTGTTGACTGTCAGGATGAATGAGATTTTGAGGAGCACCTTGACTGAGTCTGGAGGCTGGGGATATTATGGACATTGAAGGAAGTGGTCTTGCTGATAGAGATAATATAGCTCAGAAGATCATCTCTGGGTCAGTGTTACAAATAATCTTTCTCAGTCTGAGAAAGGAAAATATAGAACATGTAGAATAAAAAAAAAGCTGGATTTACAGTTCTGAATGGTCATACAATGCATTCAAATACAATTTTTCTGTACAGGTACTTACACAATTTTAATCTAACCTCTTGGTTAAGATAATGTTCAGTTTAGGACACCACATCTTAGGAAAGATATATTTCCCTGGAGAGGATATAGCACAAGATAATATCAGGAAGCATTCTTTCACACAACGGGTTATGCAAATCTCAAGTTCTTACCCTGCCCCCACCCCCCCACACCCTAAGTAGCTGTTGTCTACCTCAGTTGAAAAGTTGAAAATTCAGCTAGAATCCCACTGAATGGCAGAATTTCTAACCTGAGCAGGTATTTTGTTGTGAATTGGGCACCCATTTAAGAAACCACTTCATTTTTATTTCCAGTCCTTTAGTGGAATTGATAATGGAATAGTTGAGAAACTACTTCCATGTCAACATTTAAAAATAAGTTAAATAGCCATCACTGACTAGACATAGCTGTAGTTATTGGTGACTGTCCCAAATTTTCTTAAGGTCAGACCATTGTTATTGCAGTGTAGTTGAGAGTTGCTTATGGGGAATCTGTGGAATCCCCAATGTACCACACTCCAAAGGAATTGCCTAGGACATTGAAGATTCCTCTGGGGCAATACGTCTACGTCTGGAACCCTCTGAATTTCTCCATTTTAAATCAGAGACCACAGAGTTCTGATGAAATTAAGTAAACAGTTATGGAAGAAAAGTTTGACTATTAAGTACCTAGTCAAACTCTTGGGTAACTGTTAAACTGACACAGTACTTACTTCACACAGCTCAACTACACCTCCCCTAGATCTCTTATACTCCTCACACACCTGGAGACCCAATCCAACCCCTACCACTGGTGGTACAGTTGGTTTCAACTCCCCCATTCTACATGCCCACCCCTTTCCCTGCCGGCACCTCCACTGCCAGACACAGCCGTTGACGTTTATCCAATTTATCAGAAATAGAGCAACTTGATATACCTTCTACGTTTGTGGAATCCAATTAGATTTAACGTCAGGCAAATAGTGGTAACAGAGACACTATGTCAAACATCCCACAGAGCACATTGAATAACCAATCAGACAGATCAAGACAGATTGCTCAGATTTCTCCGTAGTGGCTCCCACCGTCCCCGGATGTTAATGACACTGCAGGTTACTGAAGCTCATTAAAACTTTACAGGAGATTCTAATTCTTCATTGCTGAATACCTAGCTCTGGAAGTCTTTCCCCCCACCCCCCCGCCACCCTCCTACTCTATTACAGACTGTTTCAACTGTTCATGTCTGTTAATCCAGCTATACAATCAAACACTGTCTTTGGGTTTCCTCAGCTACACTAAACTATTAATGGCATATGGCTTCCTCTAATCCCTCTCAGATCCCAGGGATTATCCTGAGCCCTAAACCCAATACTTGGCTCCCTCAGACATCTTCCACATCCTAATTGCTTGAACACCAGAAAGAATTGCGATTGCTGTGACTCAGGAACAAAAACAAAGTTGCTGGAAAATCTCAGCAGGTCTGGCAGCATTTGTGTTTTTCCTTCAGTTAATATTTTCGGTCCAATGACCCTTCCTCAGAACTGATTCAGTTCTGAGGAAGGGTCACCGGACCCAAGATGTTAACTCTGTTTTTTCCTTCACAGATGCTGCCAGACCTGCTGAGCTTTTCCAGCAACTTTGTTTTTGTTCCTAATTGCTTGGAGCTCTGGGATGGAACTTGTTCTTCCCCCTAAGTACCTTACTGACTAGAAGTCCAAAGCTCGTAGCTTTCACCTCTAATACCTCTGTCCAACTGACTTAACTCTCTAATCCTTGAATCTGTCTGAGTGGTCTATTGAAAATTTCACAGCAAGTTAGACTCTCGTTCCTAAGCAGTATTGAATATAACATTCAAATGTATCAACTCCTTAATACCATCTGTTCCCTGAATGTTATGATGGTCACAGATTGTTGGCTTCCACAGTACAAAATGGATATAAAAAGACAGTTTCTTTACAATTTGACAAATGCCTGACTGTCCTGATCTCAAACCTATCCAGACCCCACTCCTTCTATCTCACCACCCCCTGCCATCCAGATCCCACTCCCAAACTGACCCTCTGTTCCTGATTCGTCTCCTCCCCATTTCCATCCAAGCCCCACTGACTCTAGCCAGACATCCCTACTTTCCGACCTGAACCCATCCTCACTCTCCATCCATACCCTACCATAGTATCTGGACCTGAACTATACTCTCCATCCTACTCCATTCCCAGTCTCAATTTAACCTCAGCCCCTCTATCCAAACCCACTACCCACTCTCCATCCAGTTCTGATTGAATGCGGCTTGTCTCATACTATGTGACCTACTGTAGCCTCTCATGATTGGGGTTTTCTTCCTTCTGATTCTGATTCGTCAAATCTAACAGCAGTACCTCTCCTTACAGAGTTGCTGAAGTTCCCAGGGTGCTGAAATCCAGTATTTCCCCTGTGTTACTCATAACTTGAGGTAAAACAGAAACAATGATCATAAAACAGTTGCCCAATCTGTTTTCTGTTTTGACATTTTATCACTAAGTGCACAGCAAGGTTGAAGTTCACATGCTTATACAGTATGACTGTGACCTTCATCAGTCAGAGCACTGAGTATAGGAGTTGGGACATCATGTTACAGTTGTACAAGACATTGGTAAGACCACATTTGGAGTACTGTGTACAGTTCTGATACAGGAAGGATGCCATTAAACTGGAATGGGTGCACAAAACATTTACAAGGATGTTACAGAGACTAGGGGTTTGAGTTATAAGGAGAAACTGGATAAGCTGGGATATTTTTCCCTGGAGCGTAGGAGGCTGAGGGGTGGGTGACCTTTTAGAGGCTTATTAAGTCATGAGGGGCATAGATAAGGTGAATAGCCAAGATCTTTTCCCCATGATAGGGGAGTCTAAAACAAGGTGAGAAGGGAAAGATTTTAAAAAGTACCTGAGGGGAAACTTTTTCACACAGAGTATATGGAATGAACTGCCAGAGGAAGTGGTAGAAGCAGGTACAATTCCAACATTTAAAAGACATTTGGGCAGGTATACAGATAGGAAGGGTTTAGAGGGATGTGGGCCAAACTCGGGCAAATGGGACTAGTTCAATTAAGGAAACCTGGTTGACATGGAAGAATTGGGCGGAAGGGCCTGTTTCCATGATGCATGTCTCCAAATGTTGTGATCACAGACCCAGCAACAGTCTGGGATTCATTTTCTATTTACTAATTAAAAGTTGATTTAACTACACCTGGCGTCAAAATTACCCATATATTTTAACATGTTAACCAGAAACAACCATTATGGACAACACCAGTGGTTGAAATAAAGGGTAATAAAATAATGTGGGAACAAATTGGGTACATTGGATTAGGGTACTCTTCTTCTGGGGGACCACCAACATGCCTGAATGCTTAGTTTCTATTTTTGTGTCTGTGTAGTAGGGACTCAAACTGACAAGTGAATTGCAGCACAAGGGCATTAAAACACAGTGGGCATTCAATATTCTTCATGATTTGAGCTTTCTGTTTATACCCTTAGGACATAACCCCTGATCAACTGACTCTAGAAGCTCTTTTAGAGATGACCGACGAGGAAGTGTGTGAAACAGTGAAGAAATACGGAACAAGTAGCGAGGAGTGTGCCAGATTAAATGCCTCACTGTCCTGCCTAAGAAGAGTATATAAATCAGGTGAGTCACTTTTCCTGGTTGACAATGTATGTGGATAGACCTTGGGTGAGGTCAGCCTTAGGCTTGGTTCCCATATCCTCCATAATGACCTATCCATTCACTATCCAAACTTATTCATCTTGAATCCCAGCTTTGATCTACTTGGAAAATGTACTAGAGTCTAGCAACATTGAAGTCCTAGAGAAAGAAATGAAGTAGGGGAACGGATGGGAGTGTGAGGGGGCAGGATTGGAATGTGTAATTGGTGGTTTATCTGCCATTATCTCTTTGTGTGTGTCGCTATCAAAGTTGACATTTATCCTCATTCGACCTTTGCAGCGTCCTTCCTTTAATTGCAGTCATCAGCGCAATGTAAATTCCTGAGCTGGGGACTGAAGGAAGGATGTGGTCTGGGGCCATTTGTCATGAATCCCACAGTGACTGACATCCTAAGACCGGTCTGAGTATCTCTCACCAGTGATCAGATTTTTGTTATAGAAGTTTTGGACTTCTCTCATTGTCTGGCTGCAGCATCAAATATTGGTAACCTTTGCATAAAATTCTGCTGCTTTTGCAGCTGGCTAAATGGTTTCCTCCAATCAGTTCATGAGATATGCTGATGGAGTTTTAGTAACAGGGCCATGGCAACAGTGGAAGACATAGATGAAGCTTCAGCATTTCAGGGCAAAACCTCATCTGTTTGATCAACCTCTTCCCCCAGAAGATGAGGCAGATATTGGACAGGATCAGCCACTGCAACAGTGCTGGATATAGCAGGATGCGAAGTGTTGTAATATTACATTACCACTAGGGGGTAGAAAGACATCAGAAAATCTTTTCTCCCTGCAAGCTGTGCCTTGTTCACAAAGATAGTTTTAAGAGATCAGCCTTGAAATGCACTGAGCTTCAGTTTTCTGTTTAAATCTGCTGGTTATTTTTTCTTCTTTATTTTGCCACCAATTTTCTCCACTCTCCCTCACAATGGCATGAAAAAGTTAGAGGAACAATTTCAGAGTCACTGGATGTCTTGGCCAAGTAAATATTGCTCATGCAAAATGTGTTCTGGTCAGGGAGCGTAAGCTAGCCGGACTCCCTCAGTTTACCTGAGTTATCATTCAGAAGTGGGATTTCCTCAATTTTCCTCCTGTCTCACTCAGGAGAATGGGTTCAGTTTGGGGTTGCCTTTATAGCTGCCCCACTTGAATTCACCTCTCTCAGTACAGATAAACATTTAATCCAGAATGCTTTTTTGGTAACTATTCATCACTGTCTTGGCCTTCTGCATCTACAAACTCTGAAATGCAATAAAAATAAACATTTCTTCTCCATATATACATCTAGAATTGGTGCATTTGCTGCAAAATTCATGAAAGGTTTGGATTTTCAACATAATTCTTGCTGAAGTGTCATTGGAAGCCATGTCACATAAGATGTGAGGTGTCAGATTTGCTAAAAGTGATTTAATGATCTCTAAAGTGATATGTTATTACAGATAAGGTTTAGAATATTTACATCTAAAGAGGAAATAATTTTGTGTTTTGAATTTAATAAGAAATGATACCTGACATTTTGAGGTAGATTTTGACAGAGACATTAATCATACAAAATAACTTTTTTTATTTCTCTCAATTTGCTTTCATATGATTAAATGTTTTCACTTTCACACAAGTCAAAACCTAGCCCATTGTCTTTAAATTTTACTTTTATGCTTTTTTTAAAGGGTTTTTTCCAACAACAGTAAAATCGTTTTACTAATTGGATTATCTGTTGGGCATTCAACAAAACAAGTAATTTGGGGGCCAAGAGACATGATCCCAAAAATGCAGACATTATTTTCCACATTGTTACCATGACTGTACTGTAAACTCAGTAACATAAAATTATTTTAAACATATCAAAGTCTTGACTGGATGCAGCAGTAGATACTTAGTAAGAATTATATGCCACATTTTCAAGCACTTCTCTTTTCTAAAGGTCAGAAGTCAAACGACACCAGGTTATAGTCCAACAGGTTTACTTAGAATCATAAGCTTTTGGAGTGCTGCTTTTTCGTCACTTCACCTGACAAAGGAGCAGCGCTCTGAAAGCTTGTGATTACAAATAAACCTGTTGGACTATAATCTGGTGTCGTGTGACTTATGACCTTGTCCACCCCAGTCCAACACCGGCACCTCCACATCATCTCTTTCCTAAAATTCTCCTATTCTTTTTCCATTAGTCTGCAGCCTCAGTTAAGTGAGCAGGCAGTTAACTTATTGTCTGTCTCACTCGAGAGTCACCTTCAAATCAGATGCTATGGTGTAAGACCGAAAATCTAGACTACAGCATTGAGAGAGTGCTACATTCTTGGCTATGCTGGATATTGGATGAGACATTAAACTAAGTTTCCATTTGCCTTGTCAGGTGGAATACAAGTTTTGCATAGCATTCTTTTGAAGAAGAGCCAGGGAGTTATCCCTGGTGCTCTGCCAAAACATTCCCTCAATCACCAATCAACAGATTATTTGGTCATTGTTATATTGCTTGTGCCTATTTGCTGTGTATAAACTTGCTGCTGCGATTCCAAAAATAACCATAGTGTCTACATTTTAAAAAGTACTTAATTAGCGGGGATACACTTTGGGACAGCTGAGTTCCTGTGAAAGGTGCTACATAAATGCTAGAATAAACACAAAAAAACTGTGAATGTTGGCAATCTAAAACAAAATCAGAGTGCTGGAGAAACGCAGCAGGTCTGGCCACATCTGTCGAAAGAAAAGCAGAATTAACGTTTTCAGACCACTGGACTCTGTATTTCTCTGAAACTATTCCGTGACTGCTAGTCTTTTATTTTGTTCTGAATCTGGTTCCAACAAGGCACAGAGTAGTGATCCTGGTGACCCTACCTCTAATGTATTTTCTCCATTCTCGTCTTTGGGGAATGCTTGGCAGTGATCTGGAGCCTTAGTTCATTAAGAACACTGATATCAACTCTCTCCTTTCATTGACTGCCCTAGCATCAGTAACACATGGAATAAGTGGTTTCTGCTGTTGCAAAAAAATACTGTCATCTGCTTTTGGCATCTGAGAAATTGAAGCATCTCGAAAAACTGTATAAAACTACCAATTTGAAAAAAGAAAATAAATGAAGTCACTGTTCCGTGGAGGATAATGAAAGAAATAGTGACTATTTTGAGTCCCACGCAGAGATTGTTTTGGTGTGATTGCATTGACAGCTGCATACGGAAATCCCTGGAACCTACACATTTTCAGAATTGACATTTTAAATATCCGGTGAATTAGCCTCAACGATGCATTTTGTGTTGACATAAACCAGCTCTAGAATAACAAAGTGTTATGGGACAGAAGGAGGCTATTTGGATAATTAGCATCTGTGCTGGTGGTAACTTTCCAACTGGAACCTTTCTCTTGCCCTTTTAGCAAATTCCAAACTGTGGAAGCAAAACCAGACATTGTTTTGATTGTGTAAATATAAAGAGTTCTGTCACATAAGAACATAAGAAGTAAGAGCAGGAGTAGGCCATCTGACCTGTTGAGCCTGCTCTGCCATTCAATAATGGCTGATCTTTTTGTGGACTCAGACCCACTTACCTGCTCACCCACCATAATCCTTAATTCCTTTACTTTTCAAAAATCTATCTACCTTTGCCTTAAAAACATTCAACGAGGTAGCCTCAACTGCTTCACTAGGCAGGGGATTCCACAGATTCACAACCCTTTGGGTGAAGAGGTTCCTCCTCAACTCGGTCCTAAATCTGCTCCCCCTTCCATTGAGGCTATGCCACCGCACTTCTAGTTTCATCCACCAGTGGAAACTGTTTCTATTTTATATATTCCCTTCATAATTTTACATATTCCCTTTATTCTTCTAAATTCTAATAAGTGCAGTCCCAGTATACTCAATCTCTCCTCATAAGCTAACCCTCTCAATTCTGGAACCACATAAAGACTTTTATGTGTTCTTTTCTCGGATTCAATTTAACATTGTTGGGAGGATGGTTGCAAATAAGTTAATTTATTCATGGCTTCAAATTGCTATGTAATGAGGAAGGATCTGAAACTAGCTAACAGTTAATGTCCCCATAATCCCTGCATTGTAATGACTGATATGAGATTTGATAGAAAGCACAGACACCATGGAAGCAAATTCCAAAAACGTAACTTTCACAAGTGGCCACTTTTGACTCCAGCTATTAGAAGTTGGTCTGAATTTTACCTGGGTTCATGTTACTTGCCCCACCGTTAGATAAGCTAGTCGCAATCTGACCAGCAGCTGTAGCAAACGGAGAGTGGGTGATTCCCATCTCTCTTCCCCCAACCCCCCACTGTAGAAGAAAGAGCTTCCAAGAGCTACCAGCTAATCAGATTGCTGAGACATCTGGAACTGCAAGCCATCTGGGGTAGTTGGCAGGGTGAGGTGTTGAAGGGGGGCAACGGGGTGGGGCATGGTTTTATAGGCCAGGCAAACTTGCACATGTGGTTATGATCTTCGGGAAGAGGTACCCTAATAGGCCTTGTGAATCATGGAAATAGAGGTACACTGGGAGACATAAGTGGGCATTAAATAGCCACGTGAGGATTTTAGAAGGCCTAAGGGCAGACAAGATATAGACTGCCTTAATCAGCCCCTGTATTATGTACACCATGTTGGTTATGGGAAGCCAGGCTGACCACCTGACATATTATGTCCACCTTTCTCCTCCCATCGAAAACACATGCAGTGTGGGGACATTAAATCTAGCCCATTCTCTCAGGAGAATTTATTGGCAATCCTGCTCAATTTTATTGAAGATATTGCTGTTTTCAAATTTGCAAGGCCTCGTCTGAATGAGCACATTGTATTAAAAAAAAATAACTATAGAGGAAGTTGCTTTGAATTGTGCTAATATTGACATGATTTTTTTTCCAGAATCATTGAGACAAATTCCAGACACATTATGTGCACCAGATGATCCCCTTGTCATGCTAACTGTCACTGTTATTTATCTACAATTTATTTTATTAATTAGCAGGAAGGCATG